GACAAAGATGCTGACATCAGGGTGAAACCACACAGCAGAGCGACCGAGACCAGGAGGGAGGGAGGAACCCCATATTTTAGTCCAGGTGAAGTTATCAAACAGAGAGTTGATGCACTCCCTGGGCATCAGCTGCGGAATAATACAGTCAAATTCACATTTCAGACCCAATTCAACCAAACATCATTCCAAGACTGTTTGAATGAAAGACAGACCATAAACATTAAAGCAGTGGTTCTCAACCTTTGTGACTCCAATTCCCACCATTCTCTGCAAAAATAGCTGCTGTAATGACAACGTTTTGTTTTTTAAACTTTTATTCAGTGGACACTCCTAGTTTGTACATTAAATTTCAAGATTGAGAAAAAAAAGCTGAATGTTCTTCAGGGTTCCCACTCTTTTTAACCAAATAATTTTCATGACCGCTCCATTTGCTCCAGATTTACTGGATAAGGATTTAAAAAAATATTTTTACTGACAATTTATACCAGATAAAATATTAGAACTTGGCTTAACTAGAAAAATGTGTATTCTTTATAAAAAAAAAATTAGCAAGGAATTTTAAGATTTGATTCATTTCCATGACTTCTTTTCAGGTTTAGAAATCATACTTTTCAAAAAGACTTCCTCACATATTCACAAATATAGTTTTCCATACATACCGTACATAGTCTTCCATTCATTTTTTTCCGAGATCATGAGAATTCTGAGAGAAAAGTTAATATCTCATTATATACTGAGAAATAAGAAAATATAATAATTGAGAAATATCTCAATTTCTAGTAGTTTTAGCTTATTTTTATGCTTGTTTTGACTTTTTTGAAAGCATTTTGGGGTTTGCTGAGGTCCGTAGTAGGACCTGGACCCTTGGTTGAGAACCGCTGCATAAGTGGATGATCCTAGAAAGCTGATATCATTTTTTGTTATAAAAATGAACAAAACTGTAATATTGATTGTTAACAAATATTTCTAATCTGACCTCTCCAGCCATGAACTGCCCAAAGCCTGGAGGGAATGTCAGTGTCGTAATGACTAAGGTCACAACAGCAGGGAAAATCAGCCGGCTGAGAAAGAAAATGTGACACATATTTTGTACATTTTTTTCTGCATACTAATTTTAAAGATCACAGCAAAATAACTCTCAAGCGAGTACTACATACTCCTATAATAATGCTAAAGATAATATTAAAGCTCATGTTGTCTGTTGTTATTTGCTGTGTTAATTTCTCTTACTGTTTTGTAAGGAATCGTGTGAGAATGTTAGGTCTTCTCATGAACAGGACAACTTGGCGGTTCAGGTAAACGAAGAAAGCTCCCAGGAACCCACAAGAAATGCTGTGGGAAAAAAAAACAAAGAACAAATCACATTATTCCAGTGATACAAATACAAAAATCACACTCATGTTTTCACTGTGGCCCTCTCAGTTTTAGAATAAGAAGACAAGAAGATTGCTGTGCTCTCTGCTGAATTGTCTCTGATCAATGTGAGCACAATTATTATGGAACCGTTCCAACAAATCAAATGTAATGCCAACATCTGGTCACTTTGGTTCAGTTAAAGTGCTGTGTGCTCAGGTCTGCGAGTGTGTCAAGGGTTACAGTATGGCACACACACAGCTTCAGGATTGTGCCCTCACCACGAACGGCACGCTCTCGCCCCCGCGCTCTCACCCAATAATGGCGAACGCCGGGAGCTCCTGCAGGTCGAAAGGAAAATCCATGCGGAAGTTGGT